TTTTAAAAAATTGAAAAAGTACAAATTTAAAAAAGATTCAGAAGAGGCAAAAAAATAATTCCTCTATTTTTTTTTAACGCGTATTTTACAGTAAGCAAAAATTAATTAACAATTTTATCAATTAATCTTTTTTGGTATATAGTTTGATCTAACAGCTCATTATGAGAAAAGCAACAAATGCACTTTTACAAGTATTTTTGACATTAATCATAGATTATAATTTTTATAAGCAATTTTTTTTGTAGGACATGAAAATAGGAGAATCCAAAAAAAAATTGTATAATGGTGATAAAAAATCTAGTAGTTGATTACTAAATCGATATTTGATAATTCATTTAGAGATACGGCAATGAAGATTCAGAACAAGTAATAATTTAAGAAACTATTTTAGACATGTTTAAATAATTTTATTTATCTATATATAAGTTATAAAAGATTATTTATAGAAGAAATATGGCATAATTTCTTACGACATACTCAATAATTATTAGAAAAATGTTTACATTGAACTGTTTAGATTTAAACATCAAGTACCGTAAACACCTCTTGAAAACAATTAATAGTGTTACGTATTTTTACCAAAGGAACTAAACTGTTACTTTTATTAACAATTATGATTATAAATAATAAACGAGATAACTAGCATCAATAAAATATCTCAAAGATCATAATTCATTGAACACCAACACACACTTTAATTGATATTGCAAATAAACTATTTATACTCACAGTGTGGCATTTTAATAATGTGAAATATTTTAAATTTCCATAATTTTTTGGCAACGCAAATTTAAATTTAAGTGCCAAATATAAACAATAATATTTTATTATAATTGTTATAATTGTTAAGAATTTTTATTAAAACAGGAGAGAAGGTGCGACTGCAATTAATTATGAGTAAATTAGCATAAAAATTCTTTATTGAGCTATATTTATAATGTACAAAAAATGTAAATTATTAACAATATATATAAAAGAAAAGTTTCAGAAGATCTTAAAAAAATCTTAGTTAATAAGTACAAATGTCGATTGCTGTTAAGAGAATCTTTGGTCATTGTACTACAAATTTCGACCGAATTGTTCCATCATTTATATAGAGCATCTTAATGCACCATATTTTATATTTAATATCTTTGAGAGTAATTTCTATTAATAAAGAATATGATTTTAAATTATGATAACATTGATTCGTTCTAGTTATACGCTAAAGTTTTGTGAAGTATCAAGGAACTTCGCAAGTCGTAAAGCTTAAAATTGTCGTTTCGTTACTTTAAACCAAAGATTTAAGATAATACACTACGATGTAATGTAAAAATGTTTAAAATATATCTTTATAGATAGTGTGATGTATATTAAAATGTGTAAATAATTAACTAATGAATGCTTTATATTTTCTAAATTAATAAAGCTAAGCCAATTGAGTGAATTTTGATTTGAATATATCAACTGTTTAAACACCTACACATGTTTTTTTTAAGACTACTAATTATATTATTAAATTTTCCTAATACTATACAATGCTACTATATAAAAACCTAAAAAGGTCAAAGGCGCATTAATACGTATGCATATATACGTACATTACATACGTATATACGTATCATTACTTTATCATCGATTGGTTAGAATCAATCAGTTCTTCCACCCTTGGACAAAATGTATTTCTTATTAGAAACCCTTCTATAAAGATGTTTTTGTTATATCAGAAACTTGGAAAATGTCGAAGAAACATAGAGCGCCTTATTCAAGACAACTTTCGATTAATAAACAAAAAAAAAAAAAAAAAAAAAACTACGCGTTTTAAATATTTTTAGAGTCTTTACAAAATTTTTATGCCATTTCATTTATAACTAAAAAATTTATTTTTAAAATTTCCATTAAAGTTTAATGTAAATTTCTATTTCAAAAACGTAATACGATTTACCGAAAATAAAGAAGAGCTTCTCATAATTTCTGCTAGGTAACTTCAACATTTATAAAGCTTTCCTAAATTGCCAAGATTCAATAGAAGTTTTGAGGAAATATTTCTGCTAAAAATCATACTAGTTAAGTCAGCATTTGGTGCTGATTTTGTTAGCAACATAAGCAAATGAAGCCAGGTCATAAATATGTAGGATTACAAAAGATTTACTTTGCTTGCACATGTACACCGTAAAATATATGAATTTATCCCGTATTCAATTATTTCAGTTCTTCAATTTTGAATTTTTCTATTTTCTCCTTGCCAATTAATGCCACACAGTCAGTCTCGTAGTTCTAGTGTGTTATAAGTTGTGATTTTTCTTGATTTCTTTTCGTTTCGTCATTTTTTTTTCTTTTTTTTTCTTTTATATATATATATATATATATATATATATATATACATATACATATATGAAATAGTCACAGCCAACAGATAGATACCAGCATTCTAACAAATGCAGCCCTCTCCCTCGGATTCGCCTCCATTTTGCATCGAAGATTGGTTCTGTAGATCGACAGCTGTTTTTTTGCATGTTAAGGGACAATTTCTTCTTTTCAATAGCATTTTTGCCTTACTATTATTTTATTTTTCATATGTGTTATTTTGCAACATAGTAAAAGTTTTTGCGTTCCACTACGAAATAAAATCGATTAAACTTTTAAATTAGTATCTTACTAACGTTAATCAATTTTATCAATATATGCTCATAATAATAATAATAATAATAATAATAATAATAACAACAACAACAATTACAATAATAAGAAGAATAAGAAGCAAAAAAAAACAGAAATTATCGTCTCGTCATCATGGTGATTATAATGATTGTACTATGATGATAATAATGATAATGCTAATAAAAACTAAAATAATAGTTTGTAGTATTAAGCATTCTTGCGATATTTCAAAAAACCAAATATATAAATAAAGAACACAAAATTGTTAAAAAGTTATTATATTTAAACAGTATTAATGTAAATTCTAGTTGCTTTAAATATATTATATTTTCCAAATATTTAAATTATTTTTAACGTTTCGATATATGCATTAAATTATTTTTTAAAAAGATATTGAATAAATAAACTCATACTTTCCTATTCGTATTATTAAAAATATAATACACACCTTACAATATTCAATAAACTTATTATACCAGTACCCAAAATGATTTTAATTCAAAAATGTTACAGAATACGCAAAAATCTTTACAATTAAGAAGAAAAAAAAAACCAAAACAAAACAAAAAAAATTAATTATCTATATACAATTTTGATTATTAATTACGAGTAATTATTTATAAATATATGAAAAAGTACATAATTTAAACGCATTCCAATAAACATTATTGAATATATTATCAACCAAATGAGTTATCTATACAATCAATTTCAAATTTGAAGAGCTTTTTAAAATTATTATGTGATATTAAAGTGTGTATATTATTATAAAGTACATATATTTATATATAATTTATCATATTGGCAGGCAAACAGATTTGGGCAAATATATTATTAATAATTTGTTAATATTTTTAAAGGATTATAATTTCATTGATAATTAAATTAAATTAACAATTTTGAAATTATTTTATAATTATCCTATTATATAACAATAAGTGAACTAATCAGTTATGTTACATCTTTATTGCCAATGAAGTGAAATTAGTACATTATTGAAGTGAGGTAAAATTTGCAATTTGATATACAAATTACAATATAATGATACATTGTTAAACAGTTTGAATTATTATTATTTTTCTCGTAAACAATTAATTTAGGAACATTCTCATTTAAATTAAAAATTACTTAAATAAATATAAAAACCATATCTCCGTTGAAAAAAATAATAATAAATTCTTAAGTAAATTAATGCATTTATGTAAATATAATAATATAAATACTGTACTTATTTATTTAATGATTGTTAATTATAGTATTGTCGAAACGTAAGTATTCAGATGCCCAATTCTGTTAAAAAGTGCTTACAATAAACTTGATAAAAATTTAAGAACTTTCACTATATGATTTAATATAATTTAATATGTAAGGAATAATACCAAAGTAAAATTGAAATAGTTTTGTAAAATTGGGGAAAGTCGGTATCAAATATTGGAACGCAAAATTTAACAAAAATAATATAACATCCATGCTAATTAAGCGAAAATATTTCACATTGATGATCATTATCTAATTATTCGTTACCTTAAATCGCGCCACTATTATTTCATCGAACATCGTCATAAAAATACTTTTTAGTTTACTTCATTTTACATCATGGGTCAATCAAGTTTAGCATTAAAAATAATTCAAGAGCCCACTATAGTTAGTAAATGAGTATTATAGTTTTATAAAAATAAAAATTCTGCCACGTATTTTATACGTACTTATATCGTTATAATTAATTTCAAGAGATTTCGGTACTCCGAAATGCCGATATCCGCCAAGTGTGGCATATAAGCCGCCACAGGAAAGAAGGAGAGTCGGCGAAAATAGTAGAAAAGAGATTTCAGTAGGAGAGCGGACACTGAGTAGCCAGAAAACGTGCCAACGCGTGCTTCGATAAATCGATATTACATCCCGGTTGTAACGGCATTGCAATAGGCGGATCTGCACTCCGCACCTGTCAAAATCTCACGAAATTAGCTATACCGTTATAACATTAAAAAAACGTACATTACAAAACTTGTATTGCTTTTTATATCGAGTAAATGTAGGACGAATTAACATTAATCAAGTCTTTATATTAATAGTGAATAATTAATTGTAGAATGAAAAAAAAAATCAACTGTAACAAAATAAAACATGTCGGCATATTAGTTTTAATTTATAAATTAGAAGATTACAAGTGGTAATACTTAACCATACAGTTTAAAAATAATTTATATTTAGAGTTAAATAATTGAAGTAACTAAAATATCTTAGTCTTTTCCCAATTTCACGATTGTTATATACAAATTAAATATAATTTTTCCTCATCCTTAGTTTTTTAAATTCAATTTACTTGTCTACTCAATTTTTTATTAAGGTTTTGTAACAAAAAAAAAAAAGAAAAAAAAAATTATCTATGTTAACCCGAGAAACTCATATTAGCAACATCGATTACTCTATTGACAAAAATTTAGTGTATAATCCTGATCAGACTACACAAAAAATGAACGGTATTAATAGTAAATGCAACTGCCTGTTTTATTGCTAGAGGTGCGTCGCGTATTCGTGCCCATTTTAATCATCAAAAATTTTCATAATCAATCAATCACAGATGAAAATTATATGCTTCTAATGGCTTATCGATAAGTGATAATATGTGCAAAATGAGCACAAATGGATTTTTACGATTCGTCTCTCGATTTAAGAAACACTAATGAATTGATTGATTATTCAATCAAATGTTTAAATTGAATTTTTGGACAATCGGTGCATTCATTTCTTCAATTAGTTGTTAACATTTTTTTTTTCTCAAGTTTGTCGATTTAATTTTTTTGGTCGAGTCTCACTCTTTTAAATGTAAACAGCCAGTGTCAATCTAACATGCACAACTGCTTTCCGAGGAATTGAGTTCAATCGGTGTATCCTTCAGTACTACTTCTTGCACTACAATAGATAACACAACACATTGAGGTGTTACAAAAATTATTAAGGAAAATATAAAGAAATATAAATTAAACGAAAATTAAAAGGAAGGAAATCAAATGAATGAATGAAAAAAGAACAAAATTAACAAATACAGAAATAATAGAATTGGGAAATTATTGCATGCAACATTTTAGTATGTATATTTTTAATTGAAAAAAGGATACTGTCTTCTGGAGGTTTATTCTCGGTAGAATCCATACCGGGTAAAGCATCACCTATTCTTCTAAATAACTGAAACAAATAGAATAATTTTTGTAAATTAAAATTAAAATTTTATACATTTTTTCATGTGTTTTCATTTATTTAACAATATACACGTCATTCTTATAAACTTATAATATTTCGAATAAAATACTTTCAAAATATCGTATATTATAAGAATTATATTAAGTATGCATAGTAATTTCATACAAAAATTATAGTTTTATGATTTTACAGAGTAAAATCTAATGAAAAAATTTATGTTAAACTTTATAATAACAAATATAAGTATATTTATAAAGTAAAATTAATTAATTTTAGAGGTATATATTTCATAATATTGTAAGAATGAAATTGGCTTCAAAAAAGCTTCAGGACTATTATCAAAACTTATTTATTAGTCGTACCTGCTTAACATTGTAGCCAGCCTTAGCACTAGTTTCAGTGAACATGACATTCAATTCTTCAGCTTTCCGTTCTCCTTCTTCAGTTGAAACCTGACGTTTCTCACTAAGATCTGTTTTATTGCCAACAAGCATAATGATGACGTCGCTACCTCTTTCTGTCCGTACATCATCTATCCATTTTGATGTTTGTTGAAAAGAATTTGCATCTACGTAAAAAGAAAATTATAAAATGATAAGCTCTAAATCGATACCATCCTTTGTGCAATTATTAAATTTATTAAAGAAATAGAATAGATAAAAATGATTAATCAATACTGTATGTTAATATTACATCTAATGCATCTAATTTAATGTAACCATAAAATTAATAAATCAATCGTGTATTTACTGCATAAAGTACAACTTATCAACCATTCTTCCAAATATGCAACGTTACACAACTGTAATTGCAACTATTTGATTTACAAATTTTACATAAAAGCATTTAACAAATAAATAATGAAACAAAAGAAAACTTACTAGTAATGTCATACACTACAACGGCGACACTCGAATCCCTTATATAGCTGGGAATAAGTGAACGAAAACGCTCCTGTCCTGCTGTATCCCAGAGCTGCAGTCTCACAGTTCTATCTTCTAAATACATTGTCTTACTTAAAAAATCTATACCTATTGTCGCCTACAAAGAAACAAATATCCATAATGAAATACAATTGATTGTTCGATAAATAATAAAATTTTACCAATTAAATTTTTTAAATCAGTTTGCCTGCCTGCAATCTATTATAATTGTAAATTAAAAGTATACTCTATATCATATTGCATTATTAATAATAAAATCAGAAGCAATTACTTATAAAGTATTTTGTACATTATATTATTAACTATATTATTATTAAACATAATTTAATAATGACAGTAAAATAGCTCACTCAGTTAAGTTTCCAAAACTTCAAATAAAATTTTAACGTATTTAAAATAAGTTCTTTCCATGCAAATTTGAAGTATTAGCATTTGAGTAATGAAGCTCGATTTATTTAATTTATTTAACAAATAATATAAGTGAAAATATTAAATAACATAGTAAAACTTGCCTGGTAAGTGTTGTCGAAGCTGTCGTACATAAATCGCGTAATTAGCGATGTTTTACCCACTGAAACAAAAAGCAGCCCCGTAAGTTTTTAACTACCATAAGTTCGGACTTTGGCTAGCTCTTTCTCGTCGACAAAAATATCGATTTATAACCTAACAGCCAATTTTACTCTTTAGTTCCAACTACCTATAATACTTTGCACAATCCTCTCTCTCTCTCTCTCTCTCTCTCTCTCTTTCACACACACGCTCAGTACTGTCTCTCTCTCTTTCTCTCTCTCTCTCTCTCTCTATTTCTCTCACTCTCGCGCGCACAAACTATTGCTCGCTCTCTGTCTTTCCTTCTTACAGCTCGTACTTACACTCGCTCTTTCCTTCTCATAACGTCGAAACATCAGAAAATCTATGAATTCCGATAATAAGATTCTTACCACTCTGCTCGCCAAGAAATACGAGCTTGTACTTTTTGAGGGGATTGCCGAAATCGTTGGACGATGACATGTCTCCTCTCGTCTTGTACGTAACGTTTGCAACAACCAGCTCGCGGCCTCGCGAGCTGTTACAACCGAATGTACAAAAAGCAACGTATACGTATGTGTATTACACGTCGGCACTCGAAGCAAAAGGTATTTTTCAACTTTTTTTCTTAATAACGACACGCAGCTCTTCCTTTCGTCGACGAGGGAAAAAAATATGTAACGGACCACTCCTTTTGGACGATATTGCACGCGAAATATACGACCCTCTACTCCCGGGTGCGCATCACACGACACACGCTACCAAATCTCTACGCGCGTGCGTGTGTGTTAGGTGACGTATCGTTTTACGTTTACTGTGTATTACTACTTTCGTACAACCTAAGTCTGAATGTCAGTCTAGCATATACAGTCATCTAACTTTTTCCCATTCGCTCATTCTCTCTCTCTCCCTCTCTCTCTCCCCCTCTGTCGCCCCCCCTCTCTAACTCTATCACACACACACACACACACACTACTACTACTACTACTACTACTACTACTACTACTACTACTACTACTATATATCTCTATCTCATCATCCCTACCCTTGTTCCCTCCCACTCGCGCTCTTTCTCTTCCCATCTTTCTTTCCATTTTATCTGTCAATCTATCTATTTATCTTTCATAGATTATGTATAAAATGCTTATACGTACACGTACACGGGATCGCACGCGAGCGCATACTTATGCATAACAATATATATATATATATATATATATATATATATTGTTGCGCGCGTGTGTGCGCGGCTGCGAGTCCGGGCGCTTACGCATTATACGAATGTGTGTCATTAATATACTAAATTTTTTAGATAAAAACGCGTATGATAGTTATTACACGATGAATTAGACATTTGAAATATTTGCTCTACTATTTTGCTGCGGGATTTTTCGAAATCGATTTAATATCCTACAGATTTGCATTCACGATTTAGCTTAAAAACATCTATCAGGTTGATTGGTAATGGCATAGAGAATATACGAATTCTCGCTAAAGCGACGTGAGTAAATTAAAATGCGAATATTAAAAATTATAGAGCCACGTTTAACCGGGATATGACGTTGAACCGGGATACGAAGTTTAAAATTGACACTAAAGTTTATTTTAGTGGTAAAATTCATTTAGACCTAAAATCGACAATAAAATTGTCGCAATATGAGATTGATATTGTATATAATTTAAAAACAATGGTCGCATACGTACATGAAATTAAATTTATTAATATACTAACGGTCTAGATGTTTTACGTTCTATTCGTATAATTTAATTACTTTGACAATATTATACAATGAAATATTAAATTACTATAAAAAATGTGTGCAACGATGTTGGAAATGAAATATATCATACACGTTTTAAATAGATAATATTAATAATGTTAAAAATTGAGTAAAATGATATATTTTGTAGCTTGAAAATAGTAAGAAACAAAAGCAATCCTGATCAAATCAATAAAATTTTTGTTTATATCGTATTTGAAATAGCTATGCATAATATAGTATTATATTAAATCAAGTAATTTTATAATTAATATGTAAAATTTAATTTATCTATCAATAATCAATTAATATATAAATGAAATTCGAAATAATATGCAATCTCACTTATATTAACGTGCAATTTATTTAAATAGTTATATAATAGAAAATACAAGTATTTAAATAATTCAAATTTCATGGAATCAATGGATCTTTGTTATATTTGTCTGGTTTAAAGTAACTAGAAACATTGATATGAACAAAATATATGAAGTAATGAAATTTTTTTTAAAATATAATATTAAATAAAAATTATAAAGAATGAAAATGAACTAAAATTATTTACTCTTTATCAATACATTTATTTACAGGAATATTATAAATAGTGATCTGTACAAGAGTCGGTGGGGAAAGATTGGGAAAAAATTTCTTATTGTTTTGTTGAATTGTAGTAGAAAATAACAAAATATTAAGTTTTAAAAATCTTATATTTTTTACATATAATTTTTTTTGTTTTTTAAAAGACTAGAATATTTAAATGAAATAACGAATTTTTAATTGAGATAATTTCTTATACAACTTTTTATAAAATATTTTATAATGTATTAATATTTATATTTTAGATTTATAAAACAGTATATTAAATAAAAGTGGAATTAAGAAACAAAATAACAAATCAATATTCAACTATATGTATTAATAAGATTGATATGCATTCAAGCATTTTAATAAAAAAATATCTTGGACTTTATCTATATTAATTTGCAGCACAATTATGACTGTATAGTGAAATTTGCTTTATAATGTGTGCTCCATTTTCAATATACAATTAATTTATGTTTATTAAATAATAATTTTATGATAAATTATTGCAAATAAATGAGAGCAATTTGTTGAAAAATTTTTTTTATCAACTATTAATAAATTTACTTAACTTCATAAATTAAACTATCATTTTAAAATGTCAACTTTACATTCTTAAACATTATTTTTATATTACAAAGTTATGTACAAATTATTATAGTTTTATCAAAAAAAAAAAAAAAAAAAAAAAAAACAAAAAAAAAAATTTTACTGTCGATTGCATTAATTATTATTATTATTATTATTATTATTATTATTATTATTATTATTGTTATTGTTATTGTTATTTCGATTATTATTTCCGTTGATGCTTTCATCTTCGACAACAATTGAATTAGAAAGTAAATCATAACACGTTCGATTAAATCTAAAGCAACATATAGTAAAACAAACGGGTAACAAAAACATTAAAATATTTTTCAAAGTTGATCGTCCTAAGGCTGGTAATAAACCTAAGTCGGTTCCAGGAACTACCAAAACCATATCTTCATTTCTCAGACCTACTGGTGTAACATTTTTACATCGAACAACTTTCAAACGCATTATCAATTTTCCTGGAGTTGCACCGCCAATACGACCATTAACTCCATGCTGCAGCCAAGATGCCTAAAATATAAGTGTCAATTAAATATAGACAAACTAATCTTTTGAAAATTATATCATTATTAAGAGAAACTATTAAAATTTATTGGTACATGTAGAATAAATGATGTAAATTCACTATTGTTATTCACTAATCAAAAATTACAAAAATTAATAAAAATGTCGAACTAAGTATATATAAATTTAATTTGAAATATAAATTTGCACATTAATTAATTTTTCTTTTGTATTCTACTTTATTTGAAATCTAATTTAGTAACATATTGTCTATTAGAAAGACAAAACATAGAATTATGTTAAATTGTAATAATACCTCAAAAAAACAAACAAATATTTTATTTACTAGCTCTACAGCTACAAGTCTAGATATCACATCCAATGCAATTTTATAGTCCGCTTGTAAATTTAGTGGTAGCTCATTCAAATGATATTGTTCAATTTCACTAAAAAATTAATATTTATTTTAATCAATTTTCTAATGTAAATAACAATTCAGACTATGATAATTATTGTAATACTCACAAAATGTTGACAATATCCATACTAAATAATATTATAGACATTTTTAATAGAAGCATTATCATTCCATCTATAATTTCTGCGATATATCTCTTCCATACTGGTGGAATTCGATATCTAATACCTTAAATTATAAATATTTTATTTAACAAGATTTAATTATTTTGAATACATTATTGCATTAGTATTGACGAAATTCAATATAATATTTATTCATAATTTTACCAATAGTTCTCGATGCTTCTACAACTGTAGGTTCATTGTTTATTCTTTGGTTTGAACTATTTTCACTTCCTTCCTGATTATTAATATTTGCATTTGACAATTTTGAATCTATTTTGGATGTTAAAATTAAATTTATAGTAATATCAAAATTTTACAATTCCATTAATAATAATATACCTTGTGCTATGTGACTAGATCCAAGAACAAATGGAATAGTAGCAACAAAACTGTGCCATGCGTACACTTCTATAAGCCATCTCTCCAATTTCATAAAATACTCTGTTCGATGTTCACTCGTATAAATACAACAACCTTTATTTCTATCTTCACCATCACTTTTAATTTTATTTTCAGTCATTTTTAATAATTATACCTAAAAATGATAACAATTCATTAACAATGAACATAAATATTATTATTTATTTTTTTAGAATTGAAGATTCGTCTCTTCATATTCAATGGATAGAAAATAGAAAAAATAACTAAACTAAGAGCTTTTTACATAATAAAGTTAAAATTCATAATTGAGAAAGACGTTAATACTTTTATAGTATACAAAATAATACCTCTATAATAAATATAAATTGTTTAATACAATTTGTGTTAGTACGTGGTATCGCATGAATGCGCTTACGTTTATCTGATTTAAGATTGGCTTATGTGTGTATATCACATATATGTTGTATTCTATGCGCCTAACTACATAAACATATATATATATGCAATCTGAAATAAAGTACCATAAACTGTCAGAAAAACATCCCTAGATCACTTGATTTAAGCATTAATTATAAATTAAAGCTTTATTATAACGTAAAATAAAATGATAATCAAAATTCATACAACACTAATTATTAAATTACGAATTGAAAATTAACTCTTCCACTTATGAAATATATTATTGTACAATAAATCTAGTCTAGGGAGTTTTATACAAGTTTGTAAAAAAAGTTTTCTGAACAGATGACAAATATTAGAAAAAGGAGTTTTGTTTCTTAATATATTTTATAACACCATTTTATAGTAAAAAAATTTTTTTTTATTTTAATTCATAATACTTTTACAGCATTTGTTTATTAAAAGTCAAAAATATATATGAATCACGGCCATATTGATCATTTTAATTATGATATATCTATTGTAAAGAGATAAAATAGTGAAATTCAATAAAATACGATCACTTTTAATCATATAATATTTCGATAAGTTTATGAAAAGAATTAGTGAATTTTTAGCGAAGAGAATAATGAATTCTAACCTATATGTATATTATTTACGTTAAATGTTTTCGTTTTAAAGTTATGCGTTTTGTTATTACCTGTATAGAAAAAAATAATTAAATAATTTGTAATTTAAAAAGTAGTCGTATTATAAAGAATAATTTATTGTGATTATTGTTTGACACGTCTTGATTGTTCAGAGTTGAAAAACTACTAACCTTATTAAACTAACAAAAGTGACGTGGCGATAAATGATAGGAGAAAAATATTTACCTTAAAATTAAGGTAATATTTTTAATTATCTTAATTGATTGTATATCAGTTCGTATAAAGCTTTTTATTAAATCGATCGTTCCAGAAATACTGTTTGTACATTTATATGTTTATTTTTCAGAAAATGGCAATAAGTAATAATAACAATAATGATGAATCTATAAAATTCATTTGCCCTTCTATCGATGAATTGAAGGTAATTGTAAATCATATACGCTGTGAAGAATGTAATTTAGTATTTTGCAATAAACCTCGATTTCGAATGCATGATTTGAAAGTTCATAAGCATCAAAATCTTGACAAAAGCTTTAAAGGAAATGTTCGTTATCATTGTCCAGTTAACAACTGTATTTATGCACCAAATAATAAGAAACATTTTGCTTTGTATAAATATTTAAAACAAGTAAAGTATTACATATAGATAGAATATTAGTTATATTATTCTATTTTATTAAGTAATATATTTCTATAGCACTATCTAAAAGTTCATGCTGAAAAAATATTTACTTGTACTCAATGTACAAAGCGTTTTTCAACCAATTCTGCAAAAAATGCTCATATGAGAGTATGTGGTACTGTTTTCAAATGTATGTGTCAAAAAAGTTTTAACAGTTATGAAGCTTTACTTACACATGCCAAAAGAAACTTTCACAAAGTAGATGAAAAATACAAATCTAAACAGTAAGAATTAAAATTTAAAATTAATATATTGAAGAAAAAAAAAAATTATGTTTTACCATTAGTTTTGTAGTGGCAGTATCGGTTTAATGTATTTCTTTACTTTTCAGAAGTAATAATAAAATAATTAAACAGATAAATTTATCACCTGTAATGTATTTCGAAACTTCTAATAACGAAACGTTAAAATTTACAAATAAAATTGAAGCCATTAATATTTTACCAAAGTCAACGTGCGATGCGGCCATACAAACTGTATCACTAAGTATTAAAAAAAAATCAAGTACTTATAAAAATAAAGGTCAAATCTGCAAACAAACCCAAACAAGCGATAGTTTTAAAGAAAAACAATTTAAAAAATCAGCCGCAACGCAAACTACAAAAACAATTCCACGTGTAATTAGAGTTCATCAAATTGGAAAACATAAAAAAATTTCTGTAGATAAAAATACCGTTACAAAAGGAGACATTAGTTTAGTCGAGACTCTTTCATCCGAATGCCAATTACCCATCAGCCCATTATCACTGAGGCATGACATAATATTACAAGATCTGTGGGAAGAAAAAAGTTCTTTAGGTACTCAAACAAGTCCAGAAAAATATATTTTCAATGATCTCGATGATTATATCACGCAAAATGTTGCGTATCAAGGAATTTTCAGATCTGATCCTATGCTGACAGAAGACATATTTGCCAATAAATTTAGTAGTATAGAAACACAAACGGAAAAAGCATATTGCCAATCAATTTTTGAATCTGATCCACTAAGCTCTAACAACGAGACACAGACGACTGAAAATTTCACTGAAACAATGGAACCACTTCACATTTATAGCAATACTTGCACTCAAACTTGTGACGAAATTTTATCATCTGATTTAGGTTTATCGGATATTCAAACGCAGACAGCCTGGAATCATTTGGACGAATCCACAGTTTCTACTGAAACTCAAACGAGAACTTTAAAGTGCTTATCTGGTTGCAATGATACAAATTCGTGGTTCACTATACAAACAAATCATATGGAAACTCAAACAGATTTACTTCATATTTTTGAAGATTTAGAATAAGTAAGAATGCTTTTAAATTAATACATTTAATTTGAAAAATAAAACTTTAGTACAATGATTTTTAAATTTTAATATGCAAATATAATTGGGTGGTTGTACATTTTACTTTATAAAAGAATCATAATGTATTTGTAATATTCTGCTTTGTGCCTTGGTAATGACTTACTCTTTCAATTATACTAAAGTTAAGCAAATCATTACGCAGCACAATTATGCTCATCCAAAATATTACTAGGCAAATTAAATATTCTTTTAGGAAATAAGTTCAAGCTTCTTAGGAACTTGACAGAAATGTGAACGAAGTAAATAAAAGAATATCTGAAATCCAAATGCTGTTCTTACAACGCTGGTCCAGCTGCATTGTCATCATCTACATCTGGTAAAAAATCTTTGGTACTATCTTCTGTCTTATCTTCTTTATCAAGAGCGGATGCAAGTTCTCTTAAATTATTTACACCTGACATTAATTGCCTGAAAATTGATTTTTTCATTATACTTATATGTTATAATATCAAAACATGATAAGTGATAACCAACATTATATAAAATTTCAGATTCAACTATAGGAGTAAGAATATAGACATTTAAAACATATCAGATTAAATAATGCAATATAGAATTATCTCAAATTCAGAAGACAGAAAAATTCCGAATCATCAACAATTATCCAAAGTTTTAGATTTAATAATATAATTAATGTACATAATTACAGTGATCATAAAATAAATAACTTAATGAAGAATGTAACAAATATTTAAATACTAAAAATATTATATCGAATTGTAATTATCGTTAAATTTTAAAAACTACTTTAAATATTTTATAGAAAATATAAAAATTTACTTCAAAATAATTAAAAAAGCTTTAATGCCATTACCTTAATGAAACTTCTGCTGTCGATGCAGCAAGTCTCATATCGTTAGCTAAGCTTCGTATCCTATTGTCAGCAGAATTTATATTCCTACAACCACTGTTATTCGTCTCCATTGTTGCTTTCAATTCTTGATTTTCTTTTCGCAACATCATAACTTTAATCTACAAATAAAAAAGAAGTTTAAAGAATAAACAAATTTTATTTATTTAAATTAAAATAGAAATATTTTTAAAAATTTTAAATAAAATAGAAATTATTGAAAATACGCACGCATAAAGAATCGATATTTCTTTTCAAAGCTTCTATTCTATTCTCCGCATTAATAGCCCTTTTCTAAAAAAAAGCAAAAATTATTTTTGAATTAAGTAACATTAGTCATTTGATATAATTTATAAACCATAAATCACATGTCTACTTACTGTACTACGTTTTAAATTATCTTCTGCTTGCTGCATTTCTTTTTCAATATTTGCACTTTCTACAAGATTTAATTGTCTTATTGATAAAAGTTCAGATTCTAATGTTTCTATTCTACATTTGAAAATACATTCATTAATAATATATGCAGAATAAATAATAGTAATGATAAAATTATTATTATATACCTCATAGAATCATCATTCGCTTGTCTCCTTGCAATTTGCAATTCACTGCGTAATCTCTCATTTTCCATAAACAACTGAATAAATTAAAAAAAAAAGTTATTTACCATTCTAATTTAATTATAGAAATGTGTAGTTAAAGAGCACATTACCCAGTGATTGATAGAATCATTTGAACCAGAGCAGTTAGGTCTTTCGGCTATTGAAATCCCACGAGTACGAATTGATGCATCGCTTAAAAAGTCGGGTAATAGTTTTGTTGTATTTTGTATTCCTTCCGATAAAGGCTGATACATAGGTACATTAGCATTTGAATTCGATTCAGCGCATCCAGGTATTGGTAAATTAAATGGAAAACCTATTAGAAATTGATAATTGATCATTGGTAAACATTGTTGAAAATATTAAACAAGTTATAAATGATAGAACATTTTGAGTTATGTTCATATAAAGCACCATAGAGATTAAAATTATCTGTTTTAAATTTTCAAAAACTTTTAATTACTATACCTAAAGATTCTGGCACATCAGCGGATTCACCATCAATGACATCCAGTTTTGGAAAGTCCGAACAACTTTGGTGCGAAGGATTTTTTATAAAATCCTTATCTAAATGGTTTGTAAGATCAAATGAAATATCTTTTGTACCATCGGCAGTTTTATTGCATTGACCATTTAAATGTCGTATATGTCTCTTCTCAACACTATTTAATGCAAAGTCTGGCAAATTATCAACTTCTATATTTCCAATATTCGCAGAAGCTTTGTCGCCAAGATAACACTGTTCGATAACAAGATGATCTTGTACAAAATCTGGTAATTCTGTAGGGTTCCTTGGATATTTTCCCGTATCATGATTTTCACTAGGCTCTGGTGTTCTGGATTGTGGCTCATAAAACTTTGGTCTAGCTCCAGTAAACTGATGATTTGTTTGATTGTCATTTTTCAGAAATTGTTTTAAGCTAAACAAACTTTCTTCTCTTCTTGCTGAATTTTTAACTACAAGATAAAATCATAATTTTAAATATAACAGTTATTGTAAGAAATTTTTTAAAGATAAACAAAGCAATAAAAATTTCATAAAAAAATTACAATAGTAGTTATTATTAAAAAAAAAAAAAATTACGGCTTATTTCTTTAATGATAAACAGAGACGGTAATTTCATTACAATACAAATAATTCTAAAAATTATTATACTCTACAGAGGCAATTATAATTTTTATTGCTTTATGAATTTACATACAACATAAAATTATTCACGGTGTGTAAAAAAATAAAAAAAATTATTGCCTTAAAGATTTACATAATTGTATTTAAAAAATTAATACAACATATCATTACGCTACTGTAGAAAATAGAAATACTGAACTTAAAAAGTAAGTGATTATCAAAGGATTAACGAGAATTAAAAAATTTATCGTTGATTACAAGATAAGGAGGCAATATAATGCAAAACATTTTTATCTTTATACAAGATCACAATATTAATAGTGAAGGATGACTAAGGGAAGCTTACGAGTATTGTGCCAAGAAACAAAAACATCGTAAGCAAAGCTCTAACCTTTATGTTTGAGATCTGTTGATAAAGGAGATGATTTATTCTTTACTATCAGTTGATTACCACCTTCTAATTCGATATCCTGGGATGTGACCGCCGCAGCCTCTCCTTCGTCGGCAGATGACGTCGACGAAGATGATGAGAACATCGCCGGTTTTCTGCCAAATGGCTTTTTCGGCTTCTTTGATCCTCTTTTCTCTCAATCTAATGCGTTTCGCATATACATGCACGTTGGTAAACTAAGTATGCACGCACATAGCTACCCTATGCCTTATGCACACAAATGCAATAATCATTATTTTATAGTGTTCGTATTTGAATTACATATGGAATAAATCGACGTGTTTTACGTGACCGAGTGCATTTTATTCTTGTATATCAAATAAAAGTTGCGAAAGCCCAAGTAATCGCAACTAGAAAAGCGTAAAAATAATTCTACACTACGCTTAAAATACATTTCCTTTAAAACATGCTTACAACAATAATAATGACAACAGCATAAGCTATCGCTTATAATAAGCAGTTTTATAATAAATTAATTATCAATTAAAAAGTTTTAGATAAATGTTGATGCAAATAAGAAAATCCAAGGAATAATGAATGCGCCACAACAGGTAATAAAGTTACCACGATTTACGGTATTTCATTTGGAGAATTAATTATTAGAAGTTAATTATGTAGATTGGACTAGGTAATCAAAAAAAAAAAAAAAAAAAAAAAAATATTTTTACAATCTATGATTAAAATCATTAAAATAACATGTACGATAATAAAACTGCCCTGCAAACTATATTTCTTTATATTACGATGCAATATAAACAATAAAATGATAAATTAGGATTTTGTCCTTTCACATTGGAAATATAATCGACAAAAGCTGTGCTTATCATTAGACTATCTTTAAGGGAAAATTTGGAAAATTTGAAAAATGATCAGACATTGAAAACGTAATTGTAATAAAGTAAATAGTAATTACCAAATTTTTAGTACCATATGTAATATCGGCCAGTTTGTAATTTTATTAAGTTTTAATCCAACTTAATCATAGTTATACATACATAATTATAATTATAGTTATAAGTAAAGATTCTAAAGATATTTTATAAGCAATTTCAGAACAAAACAAAAAACAAAAAGAAAAAATCGCCCAGATGCAATATAATTATTATTGTTGAAAATGAAAGTATTAATTATACTTTTCATAAAATATTTAACAATAGTTACAGGTGAAATTTAGAATAATGAAATAGTAATTGTTTAATTACCATGTAACTTGGCTTGTAAATTAAATTTAGATTGATCGATTGTAAGTGAAATTATTTTACTTACCTCTATACTTAAAATAATAAATTTTTACATTTATCGTAAGGAAAAATTCTAGGATAATATATTAATCGATTACAAAATTAATTGTCAAATATTGTCATTAAATTGCTCATTTTTAGCATAAACTAACGAATATATATATATATATATATATATATATATATAATTTTTTATCAAATTTATGTTATATATACATATATTATCTTATCAAAATTACGAAGAACTGCGGCTATGGTAGAAGATAAAGGAAATAAATAGATCGTATTTCAAATTCAGAGAAATTTTATATTGTAATAAGTCCATATGATAAATAATCATATTTTGTCATCCAATGCAATGCGTGAATATGTAAAAGTATTTCCGACGCCATCAGAATTTGTAAACAATAATTATTACATGAAGCAAGTCGTAATTATATGAACTCGTTTAAACTGTAAATAGTAAAATTAGCGCGCGGGAGGATATTTGTCGGTGATTTATTCCGTCCATATCTCGCCGCTATTTAAGATGTTGATCGTTGCCGCGTCTATTTGCATTTTTCGCATCATTTCGTCTATGACGAGAACGACGTCAATTACGGGAGCAATGGCGTGAGTAGTGGCGTATCACTTTTCGGTAAAGGGATTGCACTATGACACAAAATAACCAAAAGAAAAAAAAAAAAAAAAATTTAATATTGTAAACGCACATACAGTAGGATTTTCAATATACCCAATAAAAAAGTAAAAGAAAAAAGTTAAACCAATTAGTGAATGTACGCAATGATAAAGCTACTTTTTTTTGTACTTCATACCGCTTAGAATCATTAAATTTAGTTAAATGTCCAGAATAATGTTGATTATAATATTTTGATTGCAATATGTGCAATTCTGCATTTACAAAATCAATAAAATAAGGAATTTTATTGTCTTTGAACGTTCGCAATTGCATCTGTGTCTATGTATAATTAAAAATTTTATCAAAAATTTAGTGTTCTTCCTGCTTTTAATAGAAAAAAGAAAAAAATCGTGCTTATAATGCATGCACACTATAGGTTTGATTTCGATGAGAAAGAAACATTGAATTAAAGATGTTTCTTATTTCTTTTTCAGAATTGAGAATATCGATACCGAAGTAAAAATGATTGCCCGTTGTTGTGCTCGCGGCAATTATAATGCCCATGCTTCACCTCTAACTTAAATAAATCAATAATTAATGGGTAGCCATTCTCTAAAACTCGAGCTTTTTACTACACATTTTACTACTACTAATACGTATTAGCAAAGTCAAAGTCAAAAAGCTAAAATACCGGCGCACGCGATACGTGCTCACATGAATTTTACTTATGAATTTTAGCAGGTAAGTGGGAAATTTTCACATCGCTACTCCGATGTCACTTTATGCTCCCTCTGGTGAGAATTTCAGGCGACCGATAGTTGGTCAGTGGGCGCAGTGGCTATGCCTTTAATAATAATCTTTATGTCGGTAGGCTGTTTTTTCATTTTAAAACGTTTATTAAAATTAAGTGCTTCTAATATGTTAGGTGTGCGTAACATTCGTTCGACTATCAAATAAGAAGAAATGTAGCTTAACGACTTGAGCTATTGAGAAAATAAAAAATCCATACTTGCGAATAAAGAATGTAATTAAAAATGTAAATAAAAATTATAATTCGCATAGTTAATTTAACGAGGTATATTTACATTCAATTATTATAGCCAATTGTGCAAGCAAAAATTTAAATAAAGTCCCTTATGAACGGTTCGTGATAGCTTGTTAATACTCGTTAATATCTTCTGCTCTACATGCTCTTTGGAAGAATCAGAAATTACATTTTTATCACTACTATAGATCAACAATATTTTTCGTAATTTTTAATTACGTATGATTAATTGATGTAATGATTATTTTGTTATAAATCATGGTACTACATAAATTCTTGATACATGCATATAGTCATTTACGCGTAGGTAAAAAACCTTCATTTTTTTTTAACGTATAAAATTGTAGGTTTGATGTATACTTGGTGTTGTGTATCAAGTATGGAAAGCCTGATAAGACCTATGACATGCATTATTAGTGATAAGAAATTAAAACACAATTTAAGACTGATTAAAGTCATAATTAGATAACAATTATTGGTTAAAATTTACATTTAAGGGACTCGCATTAATTATATTTTAATTATATTTATTTTATAATTTCACAAGACATAATCCGACTTTTGTGCAATTTTTTTGCTATAATTGCGATTAACTCGATTTTCGAATTTTGCAAAAAAAGTGTAATATTATATTACTAATGATGATTGAAAAATTCATAATGGATTTGGCATTTAGTTTCAACATTTTCAATGATTTTACATGCTTATGACATTACAGTTGCTGACAAAAGAAAAGTACAAATTGAATAAGCGATAAATGTTGTTGTTACAAAATGATTGGGAACAGCCTCGAGGCTGGTCACTCATACCATCACCTAGGGTCTGCTGGTCGGAACGTCTTTTACTGGCTGACTCGAATAAAATTGCCCAAGATCATTATTATAATCCTGATTCTTTTGTGCATCGTACCGTTATTTACACATTATTACTTATTAAAGGTTCGCTCATTTTATTATCGATACTGTTTGTAGCTAGTGTATAAATATGAGAAGATTTTACTATAATGGATGAATTTTTTATCGAATTCATTGCTAATTCGTTATATTTTTATTTATTTTTAGGTCGAAACCGATTTGTCAAACATGGACATTCATCAAACACGTTCCAGATTAGAAGGTTTTCACGACTTTACATCGATGAGGGCGGCTGATTTGAAGGCTCGTATAGAGGAAATGTTACGCATCAAACAATCCGTCAGTAATGAACTCAGAGATCTCGAGGCCAAACGACGAAAACTTCATGCTGACGTTAACAGCTTGACACAACAAATCGATGAATTGAAACAAGAATTATTGCATCAACAAATGGATTTAGATAGGTTAAAAATCAGTGTGGTACAAGCGCAAGCAGCCCAAAGAGAAGCTGTAGAACGTAATACACCAGAATTAGCACCACCAAAACGAATTTTGAGTAATTTTACTCCTGATATGCTACCTGCACATCTTAATTCCCAACTCTGCAGAATGTTTAATTGTTTTGACCATAGTCGTTGTGCTTTAACCAGTGGCTTCCCAGTGTATTTGTACGATCCAGAAGAATTTTCTGTTGTTAACGAAGATTGGGATATCGATGGATTTTTAAAAACTTATATTAAGCATACATTGAGTAATTTAATGATTATTTTTATTAAATACATTAACAATGTTTTTATTCTTGTTCTAATATTTTATATGTTGATAATAATGTAATTATTATTTTAATGCTTTTCAGGATACAATTCACATTTGACTTTTGATCCAGCCGAAGCTTGTATATATATTGTTCTTATTGGTGAAGCTTTAGCAATATCACACAAAACTGGAGATTCAGGGACTGCATTAGACATTAAAAAACTACAAATGCTTCCTTATTGGGGAGGCGATGGTAGAAATCATGTATTATTGAATTTAGCTCGTAGAGATTTGTCTACTAACTCAGGAAACTTGTTTAATGGAATCGATACTGGTCGAGCCATAATAATACAGTCAACATTTTTGAGACAACACTTTCGAGAGAATTTCGATTTAATTGTCCCACCAATATTGGGACCACCCGGTGGTGATGTCTGGCCAGAATGTGCGCATATGTTACCAGCGAGAAGAAAATTTCTACTATCCTTTCAAGGTGAATATAATGCCAGTTTTATGAATCTAAAATTTCGTTTATTCGACCTTCTGATCGTGTACTGTTAAAATGCAAATGAATTATCTAGTTGAATTTTGTAAATTATCTAATAATGTTAGATTTATATCTTTATTTGCGTTAAACATTTTCTCGAATGGTGTCGTTTTTAAGAAAATTAACTTGAATTTGCAGTACATACAATTTCGCAGATATTGGCTGAATTTATGAAAAATATGTTTTAAATTTATATTTCTTATTTGATTTTAGGGGAAATGCGAGCATTAAAATCGTCGACTAATCACCAAATAGTGGATGATGCAGAGCTGGACATTGATAGAGTTTCTCTCGATGAAAATAACTTGGATAATTTTATTATTCAACATTTGAAAGACATGAGTAACGGAATAACTTTAGATAAATTTTTTATACAGTTTGAATGTATTCCAACATCTGAAGAGAAAAAAGTCAACGAAGTTCTCGATTGGTCTCTTTGTGGGACAGATTCATCGAGGAAAGCAATTTTAAAAGAATCTACGTTTGCACTTATACTTGCTCCCAGTAATGCAAGTTTTTTATCTACTGCCTCGATACAGGCTAGATTATATGAATCATTAAGATCAGGTGCCATACCAGTTATTCTTGGAGGTGATAGTATAGCATTGAGCTTCAAAGAAGTTATTGCCTGGCGGAGGGCCGTCATTTTTTTGCCAAAGGTAAACATTCAGCAATTTACCATTATCGCAAAAAAATAATATAACAAAATCATTGGCTTGGATTAATTTTATTTGAATACTAAATCATAATTAAACTGAGTATATGTGTTTTTATTAATATTTTGTGGATGCCTTATATCATTTTCTTTCGTTCAATAAGTTTCAGATTTAATTCATAACACGTCGAGTATTATACATTACGCGTTACCTTCTAAAAGGCACTTACCTCTTATCTTTTATCAATTATTTTTTTTTTTATAAATTTTAGGCTAGAGTTACAGAGATGCATTTTCTATTAAGAGCCGTGCCGGATAACGATTTATTAGCAATGAGAAGACAAGGAAGGCTTATATGGGATCGATATTTCGGCACAGCCCAAAGTGTTGTCGATACAATTATCGCTGTCTTGAGAGACCGATTGGGTATTCCTCCTCTACCAGCGTCACAATCTCCTAGTCCAAGTATTTTTAATTCTTCCTTTGTGGTTCGTTTCAAAACTTTATTTTTTATACTTATTCGTTTCGCGATAATCTTGAAATGAGCACATTAAATAACAATATCGTCAGCATATTCTATATTATTTTATGACTATTCAAAATATACGCATTCGTTTTTATTTGATTATTGATTTACGATATATTAAAATTTTCAATTTTTGTTTTGCACCGCCATAAATACTAATGTATTATTCTAATAAGGATTAACTAAAAGTTCAATAAAAATATCTAATATATAATTACGAATTTAATTCTAAGACAAAAATTTACGTAAAAATTTAAAGCATAATAAAATTATTAAAACAAATATTAATTTACTTTCAGCCTTTAAGGTCAGATACTATTGCTGCGGAATCGGAGGCTGAAGAGAGTCTGGGACCATTAGAGCCACCATATCCATCTCCAGCTTTCAGGAGAAATTACACTATTATGTTGGTGCAAGGATATGAAATGTGGAATGATTGGATAGACCCATTTAAATTATATCCACAATTGCCATTCGACACGATATTACCTAGTGATGCTAAATTTCTTGGTAAGACTTTTTGTTACGTTTTGTAATTTAAAAAAAAAAAAAAAAAAAAAAAACAAGCTTGCGTTCTCGCTCACGTTGTATTATTAATTCAATATTAATTCATGTAGATATCTAGCCATTTTAGAATTTTTATTTCAATTGAATTTTATCTTATTCCTCAAAATAGGTTCGGAAGTAGGTTTTCGACCTATAGGTAAAGGTGCCGGTGGTGCAGGAAAAGAATTTAGCGAATCTCTTGGTGGAAATTATCAAAGAGAACAGTTTACAATTGTGATGCTTACATACGAAAGGGAACAAGTCTTAATTAATTCATTAGCTCGTCTGTATGGATTGCCATACTTGAATAAAGTTATTGTAGTTTGGAATAGTCCAAAGCCACCAATGGAAGATTTAAGATGGCCAGATATTGGAGTTCCTATACATGTATGTAAATAAAAAATTATTGCTTTAAATGTTATAAAACTTACAATTAATAATTCGAAATTAATATCCCAACTATACGATTATGAAGGTTATTAAAGCGAAAAGGAATAGTTTGAATAATAGATTTTTACCATTTGATGCCATTGAAACAGAAGCAGTTTTGTCTGTGGATGACGATGCACATTTAAGACACGATGAAATAATGTTTGGATTTAGGTAACTATTTTACAATTATTAAATATAAAATACATAAATGTGTTAAAAAATGTTAAAAACTGTATAAATTAAAAAATTCATTAAATTGCAATGAACAAATGATTATTTACTTACAGAGTATGGAGAGAGCACAGAGATAGAGTTGTTGGCTTTCCTGGACGATTTCATGCTTGGGATCAAAATAATCACAATGCTTGGAATTACAATTCAAATTATTCTTGTGAATTATCAATGGTATTGACAGGAGCTGCTTTTATTCATAAACATTATACGTACTTATATAGTCACTGGTTACCGCAGGCTATTAGAGATAAAGTTGACGAGTATATGAATTGTGAGGATATAGCGATGAATTTTTTGATAGCGCACATTACGAGAAAACCGCCAGTAAAGGTATCAAAATATTGGGTTTTCTTATTAAACATAAATATGTATTTAGTATAATAAATATTAATTTTTTTAAAGCGATAAAATTACTTGTACAATTTTCATATTTTATTATTTCATTAATATGAAAGATGTGTTTATAATTAATAGGTTACCTCTCGATGGACATTTAGATGTCCAGGTTGTCCTGTATCCCTATCGGAGGACGATACGCACTTTCAAGAGAGGCACAAGTGTATCAATTTTTTTTCACAAGTAAGCAGATTAAAATAATTTAGATTCAAATATTTAATGAAATTATTATGATAGTTATATTACTTATAATATTTCAGGTATTTGGTTATATGCCCTTATTAAATACACAATATCGTGCCGATTCAATACTTTTCAAAACAAGAATACCACATGACAAGCAAAAATGTTTTAAATTTATATAACTATTGAAAGGTATAATTAATAATTAAAAAATTAAATACTATAGTCTAGAATATGACGAGAGAAAGTTTTTTTTATAATCTTTTATGTAAATAATTAGATGTTATATACTTATGTGTATATGAATTTGTTATTTATCAGATTTTCTAAATATGGGCTATAATAATTATAGATAAATTATTAAGAATAAATATTTGTTAAAGTTATATATAAGCGAAGATGAGACTATATGTTAAAATCAAATAAGATTAATTGTATTATATGTTTCCATTGATCTTAAAAATTATTTATAATCACTTTTATTAGCCATATTAATTGATAATTCAGTGCCAAACTACCCTCCTTGCACATCTTATAAATAAGAATGAGTGAGACCTTAGAAACATAAAAACAAAGTATTAAAGTGTAAATAGATAGATTAAAAACATAACTATTTAATTATTATTATTATTATTTGTACAAATAAATGATATAAATATGATAAAATAGAAATTAGCAATGTATGTATTGATTGTACAATGTTTTTTTTAAAATACTGATTTATTAAAATTTTAATTTTTTATTTCATATTTCTAATGTACAAATTTGTAAATGATTAAATAAAATTGTTATAAGTTTGTACTAGTTATATCATTTAATACATTTATATCATTATTTTAGATTTGCATGAATTATTTTATTGCGACAATTGCATCATTTTTTTTTAAATATCTATAATATACATTTATTGTTTATTTACCAGCATAATAAAATTTTAGTCTTTTTATTAATAGTCTACGTTGTGTATAAATTATTTTAAAAGTATTGACAATTTATCGACCTATGCTTATTTATTATATTGATATTAATATTATTCTAACACTATACTCACAAATACGCACTTATATATAATTTACAAATATGAATTATAAAATAGTCGTGTTTAGTAAAAAAAAAAGCACCAACTGTGAATGTCAAGAAAGTAGTTTTTTATTTTTTTTTATTTTTCGTTGGATGTACGTCAGTGTATTAAAAAAATTCGTAGTACGAGAATAAAATTTAAATATTTGTAATTAAGCAAAATTGCAAATTTGTTTGAAATTATAGTCATACATTTATGTATATATATTTATTTATTTATAATTCATATTAATCGCATTTTCATTATAATAAAAATATTTAATAACATGTATTTTAATTATTAATGGCTATTTTGAATAATGTAATTTTTAATAGTCTTCTTATTTTTAGCAGATAACAACGTTTAACATATCATTAAAAATTTGATGATTTTGCTGTAGTTGAGTCATTAAAAAATATTTACCAATTCATTATCGTATGGGTTTCGTAAGTAGATCTTTATATTGATCCACGAGGACAAATTTAGTTAAGGATCATGTTATTAAGAAATCTATTTAGTCCACATGTCTGAATTTCAGAATTCCATCTGAACAATATGATTTCACGCAACATAATTCAAACATCCTTTTTTCTCAGTGAATAGCGTTCGTTAACTTTCATGATAAAAGCACTGGCTGAATTTGAAAGAATAATAATTTGACGGTCATATTAAGATATCGTTTTTATTTAAGAAATAAAAAATGTAATGGAGAATAAGGTCAAACTTAAAAAATATAAGAAATATAATTTTAAACACGTAATACCGGCAATTTATCTCGATGATACTAATATTTGCAATAGATCAATATATAAAAGTTACTAGTTTGTCGATTAATAAGCATATTATGAAAAATAAAAAATTTATTTTTATTTGCCATAATTTTTCAAATGACATCCCATAGATGAATTACAAATCCGATAAAAATAACACCTACATTTTCCAACTATTAACCGATTGTAAGAATAGGCATTAATTTCGACAATTCGTTATATAATAATTATCATATTACATCATAAAGAAATCTTCAATTTATCATTAATCAATTATTTACAAGTTTTTTCACCAGTTTGAAGAGTAAATGAAGTAAATTTTTTGTTTTTGTTTAAAATTTTCGCGGGTCGATTATTGTTACTCCTCTTGCATCCCCGACAAACTGTCGGAGCACCTCAAAACCATTGATGGGCATTAGCTGCTATCACTGTGTCCAACAATAATATCAAGGGCCTGCGCGCGTTCCCTCTTAATTCCGTCAGTAGTAACGTTCTCGTTAGACCGACAGTGGTATACCATCGTACGTGCGCATTCGTATGCCAGTTGCGCTCCACTTCGATCAATAAAACTAACACTTGCGGGCTACGATTTTCCCCTACGCTACTCTTTCGGCGTGACGTAAGCTCGCAAAGGCCTTGCCCATTGGTTAAAATTTACTCCGCATAGCATTACTTATTAACAGTCATATGAATGGACAGTTTCTACCCCCTCTACGCTCATCGAAAGCTTGATAAAAAAAAAAGAAAAAAAAAGTGTTTTTCCTCGACGCAAGCACTTTCTTGGGGTAGGAACGTTCAAAGTGAATGGGCAACGACGAAGGATGATAATTCCTCGCACTAGAGCCATATTGGACTTGAATCAATTGTTTCAGATTTTTCGAATTTACCGCGCGCATGTAACATGCGTGCAGGAGTTTAGTCAGTATTAGTGTGTGCGCACGCAATTCTCTAGCGTGATAAAACGAAGTGTAGAAGACACGAGCATTCCGCACGCATTCATAGTCAGCTTTTAACATGGTTGTGCCCGGTGCTGGTAGATCTTGCGCTTCATCCCTTATAGTCCGACTATTGGAAGGCAAGTAGAATAACTTGTAAAAAGAGCCAAAGATAGAGTAAAGTAGATGAGAGGATGAGAGGACGAGATATTCGATAACCATTGCTGCTGAGCTCCATGATTTTCGAGGGAATTTACTACTTTCAGCGAGACTTACCGTAGTCGAAGAAGGAAAGACGAAAGGCGAGTCGTCCTATAACAAGAAAGGGAAAGGATACGTACTCATACTACATACACATAAGCTCGTATCAAGGTATCAGGAAAAGTGTATTTTCCAACACCATAAAATGAGTGTAGGTACATTATGTTCAAAACACCTACGCGCAAGTGCGTACGCTATAATTACTTGGGGCATTTAACGTAGCTACGGAATTGTTTTTAAGATAAAGGAATAGTAAAAGGGGCGTTTCGATAACACGAATCACATTAACTACGGAAGGCTAGCAAGGACATTTTCTACACACACGAGCCACTCGTCTACGTACGTATATATGCGTGAGTTCGTTTGATTGCGTGTATATATAATATATATATATATATATATATATATGTACATGCGTGTGCTCGTGTGTATGTATGTATGCATGTGTGCGCGAATATTTGTGTGGGCGCGTGTGAGTGCGTGTGGGTGTGTGTACGTAGAAGAGAGCAGGAGAGGGAAGAGCGAGAATTGTATTTGACCTCGCAAGTGGAAAATGCCATTGGAAGTTATGAATGTGTATACGGCGCTATTGTGAATGACGCGTGCCAAAGACCTGATAAATAAATGAAATAAGAAAAGAAATAGGAAGCGCGAGTTGAGGGTAAAGGAGGTAGCAAGAGCAGCCCGAGCAAAGGGTCGAAGAGCTCGATATCGATCGTATGCTCCTGACAACTACTCCCCACATCTACACAACTATTACTAACCAAGAAGCTGAAGCGGATAGAAGCCACGCGACAAAGCAGTCGAAGGTAAAACGAGGAGAAAATAATGCGACTGGTGGATCCTGTGCAGGGGTGTCCGTGATAACATGACCCTTACATTTCTACTTCATTTCGAGAATGAAGAGACGCATGAGAGCGCAGAGGAGCTACTAATCAGGCAGTTTGTATCAAGTTACAGGCCGGACTATTGCTACCTCAGTAGTAAGGGTAAGCGTGTGGTCGGCCGTCGACTACTATACTTGCTGCCTCTCCTGCGGAAGTTCGGGCATTCAAAATCTACGTCGTTGTCGTCGTCGTTGCCGCGACGGCCGCCGGCTGGTGGATGACTCGCCCAGGTGTCCAGCGCAGCCTGCGTGTAGTAGTATTAGCTACGACTAGAGATAAAAAAGAAAGGGGAAGATTACAGGATGGAGGATATGCCAGACCTCTCTCACCTCACGCCCGAGGAGAGGCGTCACATCGAAAGCGTCATGATGCGTCAAAAGCAGGAGGAGGAACATCAGAATGAAATCATGAGGTATGCCATTATCGGTCCCCCATTATCGCATGGTTATTCATAGCATGAAAATAATTGTGTGTACACACACACGCGCGCGCGTGCGCACACACACACACACACACACACACATATATATATATATATATGTGTGTGTATATATATGTACATAGAATTGATATCACTTAATCCTCGCATAAACGTTGCTTCAATTCTATTTTATAATTTATTTTTATCTTCAAAATTAGCTGTATTACTACAATTCTATTCAACTGTTACATTACATATTAAATAAAAAAATGAAACTATTTAAAATTATACTTAATACTTAATATTGTGCGATTATTATATTTAACATATTACATTATAATTATCATAGGTTTATGATTAATTTAATCAAAAATCTCATAGAATGATTAGACGCTTACTTTTGATTTTGCTGTTGTTTTAATTTTTTAATATATTTCTAAATAACTAAAATGAGTTTCGATACACATATAATTCATATAATAAACATTAAAATATAACTTGTTTAGGTACTCAATGTAACTATTTATCCAGATATTATTAAATTAATTAAATAAGTATATTTCGTACAAAAGATTATGTATATAAACATTGAAATATGTGATAATAATAAAAAAACTGTTTTAAATAATATTTTTAAAAGATACCTATTATAGTTTACAATAATAAAAATTATTAATACAATATTATATCTGAAATATTTTATATACAAACATATTTTTCAAATACTATTCAAGTAATAAAAAATTAATATAACATATTATATTTTATATTATCCAAAGATTATTTATAAGTACAATTATTCAAGGTCATATGCATTCAATACATGTATTTGATAAAATTTTTTATATATTACTAAATATATGAAAGTGTTGTAAGTAAAGAAAGATTTAATAACAAACATCAATAATCCGATATTACAATGGCTCCTAATAATTATCGAATTGCTTCAAATTTAAGAATATATGTTTTGAAACATTAGATTGGTTATGTATTTAATTAATTAGTGATATCTAATTTTATTATCTGTAATTCGTAAACTCTTAAAACATTTTTTTTATTAAATTAAATTTTTTTCTAGAAATTACGAAGGATCATTATAAAAAAATGTAAAACATAATTTTAAAAACAGATTATAGGCAACACAATTAATAATATTTTTTACTTAATCAATTCATTCATATTAATTCATAGATTCGATCAATTTTATAATAATCATGAACATAAATTAAATTATCGAAAATTTAAATAATTTTAAATGGAGATTCACATTATTAATTTTGTGACATTGAAATTTATTTCGGAAAAATTAAATTTAATTATAATCTACTTCAACATATAACTTTGTTATTTATTCTTTTTCAAAATAATGCAGTTTCGTTTTGTAGATTTATTTAAGAAATATCTCAAAATGTTATTATCGAACATTTAAAGATTAATATCTATTTTATTTTAGGTTCTTATAATAATTAAATACTAATAGTACTAATAATTCATAAAAAGTAAAATAATAATGTGAAATTTTTTATTTATTTTATAATAAATTAATATATCTGTAGATACCATTTAAAGAGAATTTTCTATTAACATACATTATTCATATCTATTTCATTCTTTCGTGAAAATAAAGTTCATTATTATAAAAAAATGAAAAGTCAGATATTTTTGTATTTGCTTGATATTTAAATAAAGGACAGTAAAAAATTTAGTGGACTTACAATATTATATAAAATTTTCATTTAAGACTAAGTTAAGTTTCTATATTTAAAAATTGAATGTCTTCATAATATTTTTCCCCTCTATAATATAGCCTTTATAATATTTCAAAGATAAAAATTTCTTTAGTTTATTAGTTGTATAATATTATATTTTTCTACCTTTAATAATTTTCTTTGAAAATAAATTTCTATCGTAATTAAAATTTCATCAAATTTCACAGTATAAAGTTTAGCGATATAAAATATTAAAATTTGAAATATATAATTATTAAATTATGAAACGTTGTAATAAGATATTATGAAATTTTAGATCAATATAATTTACTTTCAAGTTAATAATTGCGGTTAGATAAGCTATAGAATTTCTGGGTTAGTGGCATAATAGCTTCTGTAGCTAAAGAGTTTTACAATTTGAAAAGATTTTGAAACCTTTATTATGTCTATTCCCTAATATCGAATTTCATTAATATAATAAGAATGCTGTTAAAGATTCTGGGCCTTAAATATAAAATTCAGATATTGTAAGAAAGCATACAAAAATTCAATTAAAAGACTGACAAAAATTATTGTTCGAAAAAGTTGTATTATGAAATTGTGAATAAATTATGTATAAATTAATGTTAACTTACTTATTCAGTATTTTCTTAATGTAATAGCAATGAGCATACAGCGTGAATAAATAGTTGGCATAAATAATGTGTAAATTTTCAAAATTTTAATCAATACCATAAGCTTAGTAATTGTCATGAAAAATTATTTCAAATCGTTCTATAAAAATATTGATTTATAATTAAAACACAAAGTTTATGGGTTTCTAAGTGAAATACTAACAGAGTCGTCAATTACATTATGTTGAAAAAATTCGATATTCATGATTGAACAGTTTAAATTTTAAGAATTACTTTTTTGACTAAGTTTTAATAATAAATGGTAATAAGAACATTTGCAAAAATACAATTGTAAATTGTAAAAGTATAATGTTCTATATAATGAAGAATATATCGATCGTATGTCGCATTTTGACAATAATTTTTTAAGATGATAGATAACACAATTAATGAAAAAAATTCCTATCAATCATAGGTTAATACACGTTATTAGCGGATGAAAAGACGGTATTCTCTAATATATTCTCTACAATTTAAAAATCTTTTAAAATCATAATTTCACAATTATTTAAGAAATTATCTTTATTTGCAATATAATAAAAATAATACATAAATAAAAACATTGATTCGCACGATTCATTATTGCTGTAGGCGAAAACAGAATGAGGTGCAAGTACTGGAGGACACAATATCCCGGGCACGTACCGAAAGGTTGAAGAATGCGGGGGTGGATCTTGACGTGACCTGCGAAATATGCGTGAAGACCAAATTTGCTGATGGGGTTGGTCACATTTGCAATTACTGTAATGTTCGATGCTGCGCTCGCTGCGGCGGAAAAGTTTCCTTACGCTCCAATAAGGTGAGCAATTATATACAATTTCTTCATTTTCTAGGCGATATAATGTTATATGATATGTTTAATATATGCGATAGAGCATTAAAGTAACATAAGTTTACAAATCAGGGTTTCAATAGAGTACTTTATTATACTTGTACTTGTACTTTATTATAAGCGATTAGTGAGTTGATGAATGTTTATAGTAAAAGTACTCGATTGTATACATTAGTTCGTACTCAATAAGTTATTTACACATATATCTATGTTCATATTTAAGTATATGAGTTGTTTAAATTGCTTTTCAATTACTTGTGATTATTGATATTAAATTACAATGCTAAATATTTCGAGGGAAATCATTTCTTTTTACATTTATACGTATGGTATTTATATTATATAATTTTTTTCTTTTTTATCATTTTTACGGATAATTTAAGCTTGATTTCTTCAGAAAAGAATAAAGATGAAAGAGAGAATGTAAGAGAATTAAGTGTATGAGGAAAATGGCGGAGTGGGAGGGAGGGAGGGAGGGGGGGGGGAGAATGGTTACTGTTAGAAAAATGACAATATATCAATGTTTAAGAATACAATGATTAAATTTTGTGGACACATTTATCTGAAGATATATTTGTATTTATTATTTTATTTAATCTCTCTATCTAATTAATCTTCATTCGCTTGCACAATTACTACATGTAGAAGTATTTTACTCTTTGATATATATTCTATTTAATTTCTTACTTGAATTGTCTATTTTTAATAAATACTCGTAGACAGCAAAAAACCGTTTTATTATTTTTTTAGAATTCCAATATTACATAATTAGCCTTTACAATAGACAATACAATGAAAAATATTTCAGAACTCACAAATAGATCGAGAATAATCTTGCAAATAGTTTAGTCATGAAAAATTTCCAATAATTTATATTCGGTGGTACATATAATATAAATGATTTTATTTAAAAATTCATTTTTCGCGTAAGAATACATTAGCATATATTTATATAGCTACACGATAATGGAGGAATAGAAAAGTATAAATATATAACACGAGTGACAATCAAATTTAATTTAAATTTCATTGCTACTTCAACAAATTTATATGAAAAATTATCAGTGTTCATAACTATCGATTTTTCTTATTATACACTCTAATGAATAAATAAAATATTATTGTATTTTGTCTTCGATTGATTTTAACTCTATAATCGATTTTCTCTCACTAGGTCACGAACTTAAGAGAATAGTAGAAAAATAAAGACTTAGTTTTCCGGCACAAATGGAAAGTAGAAGGCTGTAAGATAATCGTAAAAAGAATTTGGATAGAAATTCGAAGAGTTATATCAAAGAAAAGAAATCAATAAGCATCGACTTCGTTTTAGATCGACTAATGTGATTTATGTAGAAAATGGGTTAAAAAAAAGATTAAATTTTATCATCATAGAACGTAAATTTTTCGACAAAATGAACATTTTTTATATGGAAAGAATTGTATTTAATTATAGAAGCAAATTGAATTGTTAGTAATTGAGTAATAGAGAATTAGTTAGTTAGTTTGTAAAATGTCAGAAAAATTTTATTCTTAAATTATTCAGAAAGCTTTTGTTTATAAAAAATTTTTCGTACTTGACCATTTTTTTAAACCAATTTTTTTAAATTCTCTCATTAAATACTTAATAAACGAAACAATTGTTTTATTTATAATATCATCAATTTTTAATCATCAAGTATTCATTGTTGTTATTATACTATAGTTTATATGTATATGAAATTATGTATTTACACATGGGTTTAATATAATTTAAATATGTTAAAGTATAGAATAAATAATTATATAAAGAAAGACAATTTTTGATTGATAATATATTTGTTATGAATTTTACACATTCATATATAAACAATATATAAATAAGTATCTAAAATTACTAACACAATGATTTGTCGATAGCTTTATTTCGTGCGCATGTGCCTATATGTACGTGTGTGTAAAAACACATAGTATTTAATATAAAGATAATGCAAAAATTTCAAAATATTCTATAGATTAAGTATACTGTGGAAGGTGAAGAATTCAATTAAAAAGTTTTTTGTACGACACGATTCGATATTAATCCTTACTTTTTATAAAACACGTATTCTCAATTATACGTATAAAATAGCTCGTGTTATTAACGCAACAATAATTGATTGCCTCTCCGGCTATAAATTATCATAATTTTAATTGATGATTTAAATACCAATCGATTAATAATTAATTGGAATTAATATGATATTGGAAATAAAAACTGAAGGATATGATATTAATTTATCGGATTCATAAATTTAACCATTTTCTTTAATTCCACATAATGTTTGTAATGTTAGATTATTACGTTTGCCTACGTTACAGATGAAGATGATAAAAACGGCTGAAAAGGATTTTGAAACAAACTTGACGTAATTATATGATTTTAATGAAAGTATATATACTAGTTTAAGATCATTCGCACTTAAAAATAAAAAACAAGTAGGGCATTAATTATGTGTCTGTGCATAGTATTTCAAACGTAGTTAGCATTAAGAAGTGAAAACAAATAGATTAAGGAAAAATATGGTCTGACAAATTCTTTTCCTTCTTTCTTTTTTTCTTAATCCTGAATTATTCAGCTTGAAACTCCGATATTCGCCTCAGAAATTGAATAGATATTTTTATATAAATCAGAAGCTTGATAAAAAATAGTGTGCGTAAATGATCTAGTTCCTTCTTAGTTCCAGTTGGCCAACTGTGAACACATTTTTATCAGCGGATAGTATGAATCGATGATATCCCTATGGTACGGTAATATCAGGTTTTTATATTCGTAGAATTTCAAAGAAACGTAAGTATATGTTTGCAGTAGGTATGGCCAGAAATATCAAATGACGTTCGAATTAAGCGTCATATAAATACGATGATGGTTTAATTATTATAAATTTAATTATAATAAATATCCATACATTCAATATTAAATACAGCTATAACAATTGTAAATATTGGTTTAATAATACCCTCGTTCGATTGAAAGTCAACAAAGTCGAAAGACATTTATTTAAAAAATACGATGTTTATAATGTCAAAAGGCAATATGAGAAGGGAAAAATGACGTAAAAGATTACGTAGCACGGGTGGGGGAAGGAAGTGTGACAACAAGAAGACCAAGGAGAGAACCAAGTCTCTAGCGTTTGACAAATTGCTAGCTAAGCAACTCGCCAAAGTGTCTCTTCAACTTTGCGCCCCTAACCTTTTCTTTCTCTCGTCCAATCTGTTTCTGCTTTTCATTTTATAATTTGCATCTATTTTAGTCCTACATTCATTTTTATACTACATTCTTCTATGTAATTCAGTGCACGATTCAATTTGCATAATTTCTTATTAGGAAGAAATACATATTAACGTCCCTTGCTAATTTCATAACGTTTTAACATAATTTAATTGTTAAATTAATTTTATTAATTATTTTTTATCAAAGATTACGAAATTAGTCTCAAACTAAAAATCTCAGATGCTTAAATATAGTAGATTGGAAATGAATGTACAGCAAGCTTCTTTTTTAATTAGTACATAAAATTTTCTGTTTATCATTATAAAATGAAAGAAATAATAACTCTAGTTAAATAAATCAATTTTAATGGCAAACATTGTATTTAACAATGTTAATTACAGTTGTTGCCTCTCTACCTACAGTTGTTGTTAATGTAAAAACAAAGTTATTTAATGGATACTTTGTACTACAGCACCTTATCCAAATATATTTACTCGTATTTATTAACAATTCACATAAATTATATATGAATAACAATAATTAGTTTATTATTTTAAATTAATATTATAAATAGTTATCATTACTTTCGTTACTATTATATTTTATCACTGTGTTTCTTATTTATTTAACCATGAAATTTAAATTAATTTAGAAATTACAATTTTATTATCTAACAATTTATCTGTAATTGAAAAGCAATATTTTCATAACTTTTAGTATTTGTTAGTCTAACAGTCTTAAAATACTAATTATTTATTATTATTATTTTTTTTTATTATAATTATTTAATTATCCGTCCATCAAGCAATTATAGATGAGTATTGTAATTTTTTTGATATTCACTTATATCCATAAAGTATTTTCAATTTATACTACATTATATAGAATGTTGAGTAACCGCCTCTTTTGCGTTTCCTAATAAACACTTGTTAAACAAAAACGAAATAAATTTGAATTAATTCTGCTAAACGAGATAATTTTAATTACTTTATTATTGGACACATATGGCGTACAAGCATTTGTACGTACCTCACATCTTTATTCATAAACGTTGTTTTCGCCTTTTCGGACAGGTTTTCTTTTTTTCAAATACGACTCAACGACTCTCGACACAGTTACAGTTTTAAAGTGTTTTCGCCAAACTTTTGCTCAAAAAACTATTTCCATGTAATTTTAATATTACATTTAATTCAATTAATTCACAAAAATATTGTAGCATCTTTATTTTGAATAGAAAGATTTATCTTAAAAAAACATCACAATCATAATAAATAGAATTGGTTAGTTGTCTTATTATTTTAAAGTAAATGAATTTTTAATTATCCAAAATTCATATTATAATCTTGTACGCTATTACCTAAATTGTTTTGTAAATAATTTTAAACAATCCTGATTAATATTTTTAAATTGCAATTAACTTTTGATACGTTTACTATTATTAATATTATGAACAATTACTATTAGGATGATTGACGGTAATATCAATTTAAAGCTCATTTTCGAAGATTTCTCTCTCAATTTCTTGAAAATTTATTTAGACCATAAATGGATATATATATATATATATATATATATATATATATTAGATCGTAACATTAGAAACATTAATTTTACATTAATTATTGTAAAATAGCAAGAATAGCATAAAATATTCAAGCATATTTAACTGGGCGCCACGATGCTTATTGACCTTATTAACCTCAAAAACAGTGGAAAGACATTTTTAAATATTTTTAAAACTATATTATGATTAATTAGAAATATATTAACTATTATCTTGTTAGCTATCTGCAATGATAATCCATGTCAAAATTAAATAAAATAACAAGTCAGAAAAGGTGAATTAATACTGCTAAGCGAGCATGACTTTTTTCTTTACGTGATATTTCTCGGTTATGGACAGATGATAGATGATTTTTCATAGATTATTTTGAAATTTATAAGGCTATCAATGACGTATATTATGCGGTCTCATTGCAGTATTTCGGAACTGAAATAAAGGGAAGAACGACCACATTTGGCAGAAGACAAAGTTCTTCCCCGTTTTGATAATGTGCCAGTTACCGTGTAATATATGTAATACAGCCATTTCAATTGCCAAAATTAATGAATTTAAGTTCAAATTGCCTCGTCATCTTATATATAAATCATATTTAATTAAAAGTAACAATAATTTTTTGTATTAAGTATGAAAAAATGTTTAACGGTATGTAATTTAATTGAAATCACTATGGTCGGTTATTTTGAAAAGTTTTGAAAAGTCGATTAGCCTAGATAAGACTGCTTCTTTTCTTTGTTTTTAATCGTTATTCCAATTAATGTCTGATAATTACTTCTGATTACTCTATACATTGCCATTATTTTTCCAATATTAATTAATCGATAGTCATTTAAATCGGCAATATAAAATTATCAAAAATTTGATTACCTATGTACTCTAAGCCAAATTGATTAAAATAAATTTGATCAACGCTTTATTTCTTATATATTTTGAGCTGGTAGACTATAATCCGAAAAAGGCAGTTCCAATTTATAAAATTTATTTCTCAATATTATGACACATTATTCTCGGAGTTATAGATCATTTACTTCGCACTTCATTTACAAATATATCGCAAATATATCGGCACAGCATTACCCTCGTCATAAAAATATAATCCAATGTTTTATCCGCTTAAAAGTCGATTAAATTTATAATACCAACCTGCAGCTTACTCAGTCAATTTTTTTTGCAGATAATATGGGTGTGCATATTGTGCCGGAAAAAGCAGGAGTTACTATCCAAGTCCGGCCAATGGATAAATAAATCGAATATCGGCGGCACTGATAATGCGATGCTCCGTCGCATGCAAGAAGATATGCAAAGTATGATGCCGGCGGGCATTATAGTCGATCAAACACAGGATAAACGCCCGAAACTGGAGAGGGCACACAGCGCTGTTGAAAAAGAGAATCTTCCACTTTTGCAGCGCAGTGGCAGTTTGCTCAGGCGACAGTACTCACATCAAGATCAGGTGAAATCATTGCAGCTACATAACAATTCACATGTATTCTTCAGCTATCATTATCGTACGATTAAGCAATTAAGCGGCTACGGAAATTTCTATTTTTACGTAATTGTCATTGTAGTTGTGTTTTAACGTATTCAATGCCAATTAAAAATAGATTTATTTCGTTAAATACTTATTAGAAATATAATGGTAATCAGCATTATCGGACGGCAGTAGACTCTGCCACAATATTCATTTGAAATTATTGCGATTTGTCATACGATAATAACATTGCCAGTTCATCCAAAAATAAAAAAACAAGCTATCGTCTACTCTTCTGAAAATGTTTATTATTATAGATAACTGGAAGACGGCTGTCGACAAGTGACAGAGGTGTCGAGATATCCATCACTCCCAATTCGAGGACCTTACCGACCCCGCGTGTCGCACCTTACCAGGCACAAGAAACACCAAGACATCCAGCTGCTTATCCGGATGACGATCCCAGCTTATATCACGGCGAATTGGAAGGCCTCATGAGACAGAATGCCTCGTACCAACGGCAACGGCAAATCTATCAGGTACACTAGTGGACTGAACCTTATTTATCAAGATGTGACTTTTAAGGGATCGCTTACAATAATAATGAGGCGCGAATTCAATAACTTTTACTTTTTCTAACTCAATTCCTGATATAAAATCAATGTGTGAACTGTTTTTATAATGTACACATTGAAACAATTGACGGAAAAACTTTTCATTTCATAAAGTATTAAAAATATCGTACTTTATAAAATGGAAAGTATTGGCAAAAATGCTATTATTGGTAAAAATTTATGCGAAACTATATTATAATTTAAACATTTATTTATTTTTAACAAATTTATATGCAACGTTATTACATAATGTAAATAACAAGTTTTAGATACAAAAAAAAAAAAATGAAAAAAATACTACAACTGTGAAATATATTACATAAAACGTGTAAAACAACATATTTCAAGTTTTTAAAATTAATTGTTACTTCTAAATTCTTAAACATCGCATTTTTAAAGATTAACCTCTAGTCGACGATATTACGATCGTGGATATTACGGTCTATTATATAATATTGAAGATATAATATACCAATAGTGCCCAACTGAAATAGTAAACATAATTATTATTTATTTTCATATATATAATAATAATTAATTATGTTTTCTGGAATTTTATAAATCACGCCGATTTTTTACATGTCCTATTAGAGATATTATATTCATGATAAATACGAAATTATGCATAGACAAATTCATTATTACTTTCACTCAAACTTACCTGTATGTAATTTTATCATATACGCGAATAGACTGAGACCGATTCAATAATCCATTGATTTGATTGTTTTAACTGCTTATCATATTTCAATTTGTTATTTTGAATATCTCTCATTTTCTATTTATTCTATGATATTAACGATTACTATCTATCTATTTATAATTAAAAATAATTATTAAAGAATAAATAATCTATAAACTGTTATGTTAATGGACTGACCGATTTATTAAATAGGTTTATGCTAAAATTTTATTTATTGATTTCATTATATTTAAATTTTATATTTTTCCTTATAGTTATTTTAATAAAATCTTAATAATATTTTAAATATCATGATTACTTTACTCACATCATTACTTTCATTGATATTGAGATTGAAATTGAAATATTGAGATTGAGATATTGAAATATATTGAGATTCTCGATTTAATCGAACATACAATCTTATTATTTATCTTATTTTTAAATTTGTTTGGAATAGAATAATTCTTTGAATGCAAATGATCGATAAATAAATCGAAATTGATTTATACTACTAATCAAGGGGTGGGATAATGTTTTCTACTTTGCTATGCATTAGCTTTTTATGTAATATTACTCTCACCTGTATTGCATACGAATATTTATCCTAATCATTATTTTTAATTGTCGGTTTACAAAACTTTCTCATTGTACAGCCCACACCCTCTCTCTCTCTCTCTCTCTCTCTCTCTCTCTCTCTCTCTCTCTCTCTCTCTCTCTCTCTCTCTCTCTACCTAACTTTTATGAAGATATATATCTATATATATATATATATTTGTATATATATATATATATATATATATATATATATATATATATATATATATATACTTGATAATCTATGTGCGTTAGCGTTTTTTTTCGTAGTGATACTTTTATAAGTTCCTATAATTGCGACTCATAAATATGCTTTTCGTGGTATGATGAAACATCGTAACTGACTACAGTAGCACTCACGTGTTCCTCCATACCCTCAGGAATTCATACATCGAAGTCCATAAGGTTCTGATGATCGAATAGGATTGGCTCGTATTTGTCGTCAATATAACTAGTTGTTGAAAGATGCTCACGGGATTTCTTGCGACCTTATCGGCAACTATATTTGACCTCGTCGTCTCTTGGGAAATGTCTGCTCAATCTCATTTCTTGCCTGTGTCTTGCGAGCTTATTGTGTATCATATTAAACTAATTGTAAATTTCCCTGTGGCAGGTTCATCTAATTTGATTCTCTTTGGTCGTCCATAAAAGAAACTTTACACCTCATTAATTACCTCTTCATTCTAAATATGTGTAGAAATTAATGAGTGCTCTAATTTTTTATAAGAAATAGTTTAAATTAATAGTTTTTAACAATGAAAATATAAATAGTTGCCTTTTAATTCTTTACTAGAAGTATAAAAGTATAAAATATTTACTATAGAACTATATATAAATTTATGATAAAGCTTTTCTATAACATTATTATAAATTGTTATCATTCTTATATTAGTTTCGAAACGTTTGCTTTTTAAATCTTGTATTACTGTATTACCTTGCAAAATTCTTCTAACAGTTATTTCTTTCAGTAATAGTAAAGTCTTCGTAGCTGTATTTAGTTTAATCTTCTTATTCAATTACTTTTCTTAATCTTTTTCCTTTTTACAAATACATTTTAAACGACTTTCGATTTCTATTTTTCATAATTAAAATTTTAATTGATATTTTGCTAATTAAGCATGATTCGAATATTTTATTATTTAAATATTCTTAGTATTTAAATACATTCATTGAATCAATATGAAACTATACTATTTCATGATATTAATATTAATATAATATTAATATTTTATGCCTATATAATATTAATATATATATATATATATATATATATAGCATTTATACAGTAATATAGTTTAATAGAATAAATATTGATAGTCATGTGTAATTTCAAAAGTATATTTTATAAAAGTATAATTTTAGTATTTTTTTATTTTATTCGGATAAAATGCTTTTAAATAATGCATACATACTTAAAAGTAATTGCAATAATTTAATGCGATAATATTATTAATTTTTATTTACGATTCATTTATTAAAATAATCAACAATTCATATTGGTGAATATGCAACAGATTTAACTGAAAAAATCTTATTGTGAACGTTAAACAACTAAAATTTTAAACTCTTGCTTATAATTTTAACGTCTCATTAAATACTTTTTATGTCATTAATTATTATATAAATTTCCAAAGTTGTTAATGCTCGAAAGTTTCCACTTTATCTATATAAAAAGTACTTGGACAAATAGAAAATCAAATCCTTTATTATATCAGTCTTATAACAAGTTTGTTTTTTAAAAATATTCTTCAAATTTTTCACATTTTTTTATATTCATATTTTACTATAAGATTTAAAACTCAATAAATCATTATATTTGAATCGCTAGAAGAAATAAATAAATATTTTTCTTCTTTAGCATAGATATTATTTTTCAAGAAAATTAGACACCATATGGTTGATTCTAGGCAAACAAACTTCGAAATATTACTGATGCATCTATGAAAACTATCTCGCAAGTCACTGAAAAATCACCAAATAGATAATATCTCAACATCTTGCAGATTATTGATCTTTATTAATTTGAATGCTACGTCGCGATACTCGCGAGTCTTCACTTTTCGAGAAATCCAATATTGTCTTCGATATCAATTCTACCTCTTCATCCGTTCGGAGCTATTATTAAACAATATATAATTTTACATTACAAATAATAAATTGTTATGACAATTTTTAGAATGAAAGCAGTTTATAATAGATTGAAATTATTTATAAAAAAAAAAAAAAAATTAAATATCTAGAAACTGCATGATGAATGTCAGAGACTATGAGCCTTATGTAAAAGTAATGTTGATTTACTGTAAGGAACAGAATTCGGATATTCCCATGGTGTACGGGCATCAAGGAATTGATCAGAGCGATGGTGTACGAGCTCCGATGCATCCAGTTTCGCAACAGCAACAGCATCACCAACTCCATCCGTGTCATCCCCAAGGACAAACGCAACAGGGCCAACGAAGTTTCAGTAGTAGCGAGGAGGAGCGCAGTACGCCTGAATGTGCTAGTGACGAACACGACGATCGTGAACATGGTAAGTGCGACGTCAAAATATTCTTTATTAACAATTGCCTTTAACGACTTTTTGAGAAAATTCAATAAAAATTATTAATCGATAACGCACTCCCATATACGATTCTACTAAACTATAAGTTCTTACAAGATATACGATATAATCAATCGCACTCTATTACTCTATTCTGAATAATATTTTTCTTTATTTTTCTTTTCTTATTTGTATTTTATTAAATAATTAGTATTCATAAAATTACGGCTTTTATTACATCAACGGCCTATCTGGATTATTAAGCCATATTTATACTTTTTGTTATTTAACGTTCTCAATAATGCATTATAAATTCATTTAAATAGCATATTTACATAATGTAAGAATTACTATAATCAGTAGCTCCGCTTAACACGTATATTATGTAGTTATATTATTTTGCAATTATATGTTCCACAAGTTACATAAAATAATAAGACTTATTACTGTGATACATAAATTCTCAATTCATCTAATCCAATAATACATTGGTGGTTAATTCTGAGTTAGCATCTAACAAATATTGAGTGCACGAAGTGTTTAAAATTATTGTGAAAATTTACAAAATGTTAATAAAAGATTGGAGAAAAATTTACGTCAATATGACATATGTAGTATTTTTAGTATTAAAGCAATTTCGATTTACTTTTAGCAAAATAGTTGAGATGTCTTTCACAAAGACACGTACATGCAAAAATACTTTTTAATTTCATGAACTTTTGAAGAAAATTTTAAATATGTAAAATAGTAAATTAACGTTCTATTTATATAAGTAAATATTGAGTGAATATGTAATAATAGCTTCATAATTACATTAGTACGCTTATTCTAGCAACTTATTCATTATTGAATCCATAAATTATTGTTTTATTATTTGATTAATGTTAGTTTATGAGATACATTATTTTTAATGCCCTGCATTATAAATATATAAGAATCAGTTTGTAATACATTGACTTGAATTAATTTCCTTAAAAAATTTATAGAAATATTTAAAATATTTTATAAATATTATTTTCTAGCGCATAGTTCCACATAAATAACATACTAAATTGTTTATTCATTAATATAATCAATGTTTCAAAGTTTATTTCTTTTAGGTATATAATTTATTTCATAATTATAATAAACATTTAAAGTATTATATTAATTTCAAATAATCTGAAAAATTTCTTAATTAAATGAGATTTAATAGGGTATCTCAATGATATATTCATGATATAGTTTATGTTATATCTCAAAGAAATTATTATGATATAGTTTAATGTACCGTCTATTCAGTTACATTAAAGGTAATGTAATAAATAAAAAATAAAAGTTTAAACTTACAAAACAAAACAAAAAACAAAAAATAAATTAATGACCCATCAGAAATTAAAATAAATGATATAATCCAATATATTAATATTTATTATTTTCGAAGTTGTTGCTCCCATTGATAGATAAATATTATAATTAGTCAAGGAGTTTAGTAACATGTAATATTCTATATAGCATTATAAGGTAAGTCCACATTAATATTAATAGTGTATAAATAAATAAATAAATTTATATATACGTACAAATTACAATTCGTTTGATTACTGTCAGTATCGATATTGATGCGTGTGTATATGCTGTTTACTCACGTACGCGGTTAACGTGTATACGTATTATATAAATGAGCACGATATTTTTTTTTTATAATTGTCATTTGCAATATTAAATCCGCATACAAACCCATATTAAATATAGATTACAATTTTTTAATTTTACTTTCATTGCTTATAATTTCTAATATTAATTTAGCAAAAGATATAATATATAATAAAGGAATAATTGAAAATTGTAAATTAAATTATTTTCATGACTTTTCATACTTTTTAAATTTCAGTAAATATAGTTTAATAGTTGTTTAAATTATTTATACGCACATATTTTAAGAATAATATAATGCATTTTTACTCTAAAAAAATGTAATCTCAACGTTCATTAAGCGTTGAAAAAAAAAAAAAAAAAAAAAAAAATTAAAAACATGCAAAAGAGAATTCGGATAAAAGAAAACGTTATGATACACTATTTACCGAAATTATTATTAATTAGAATTTTTCAACTTTAATAATACTTTCCATCATATATATTAGAATTAATATAATCATATAAACACACGGGCAAATGTAATTTCTTCAGCTCTGTGCAAATAAATCTATTTTTTATATAAAAAAAAAAAAAAAAAAAAAAAAAAAAAAAAAAAAAAAAAAAAATGAAATTTATACTTCGCGATTTGACATTTTATCATAATTTAATTTATTTTAACAGTGTATTTATAAGAATGCAATTTATGTATATTATTACAAAAATAGAAATGGAAATTTTTGTAATTTTATTTTTTTCCATTCAACATAAATTTATATAAAAAAAATGTATACGTAAAAATAATTATACATATGTAATCTATTATTTTCACATTCCCTGAGATTTCTATTTTTAGTGTAATAGTAGGCTACATACATGTAATAGATAGTATAAAACAGAGTACTTTGCCGAGTTCTTCTATAGAGAAGGATAGAGTAGACGTTTAAAAAGTATGATTTTATCGTATTCAGTGACTATAATCATTACATTTAATTCATAATGGTAATTTCACATCTAAATGAAATCATTTATATTCGTTTAAAAAAATAATATTTACTATTTATAGAATTTCTCTAACATTTTTGTTTTCACAAAGCAGTACCTATTTCAAAAATTTGCTTCTAATAATTATTATATGTAATATTAAAATAAAATAACCTATAGTTCATTGTCTTGAATATGATAAATATTAAGATTAATATTAAATGGCATTTACAAATAATATTTTCCATAATTACATTTTAACGCATATGTTGTCAATCACTGAAATTAAAAATCACACATTTTTTTTCTTTTTTTTTTTTTTTTAAATAAAAATAATTTATCCATTCATTCATATCAAAATCTCATTCATAAAATATTTTCTATCTAAATTGAATACCACGTTATACGTGCCAATTCATCAATATATTGATATTTTATATATTCTTAATTGCATTATTTCTTTTTTATCTCGTTTGCATAATTATATAAAATATTAAAAAGATGCAAAAAATGTAGATATTAAAAATTTTTTCTAATTCATTAAAAACACTAGTATCATTAAGACTAAATGGCGTTCTTTTTTATTTTAATGTACATATTCGGAACAATTTTGTATAATAAAAAATAATCATGACAATTAAGATAAGTTTTAAAACTTCAAAGTTATAGTATGTAAATATGATAAATAACTAATTTTAATACCATATATACTATATATATATATATATATATTATTTTTACTAAATTTATAAATATATCGTTTCATTAGTTAATATGGGCCTATATTTCAAGAAATTTATATAAAAAAAGTAATGTCTATGTTGACATGAGTTAATAAAATATGATTATTGATTAAGATTATTATCAAAATTAATTGAAAAACTGCAGCTTATTGTAATTGGCTTTTAGCGGAGAAATCAAGAGACACGGCAGGAGATAAAATGACTCGTCGCGCCATGTCCAACGAGAGGATCAAGATGTTTTTCGCGGTATTCATTCTCTCAAAATGTCTATCATTTCCTCATTTGCAAAAACACTTGCAAAAATCATTAAAATATATCCTCTGCATATTTTTATTTAATGACTTGTTTGATATTAATCTCTCGTTTAATTCTTCTTTCTAATTATTCTGTTTATATTTTTTAAATAATGCTTTACGTTAAAATTACTTACTTACTCATTAAGATATATTGGATAATTATTGGAAAATTAAGTTCTATCGAATATTTCACGTTATAATATGTATTTTTAAATGAAATTAAACAAATTGTAACCTACTACGAGTCCAAATTATTACAGAAAGATATTTCTATATGCTAATACATAATTATTTATATAAAAAAAATGAATTATTATTATTATTTTTATTTATTTTTTTTTTTTGCAAAACATATATTTATAAATTTTTCTTTGCTATTTATGTTGAGCTTAATTTCGATCAAACATTATTTACATTATTTATTTTAAACTAGATTTCAATCAAATGATAAAAGAGAACATTCTCACGTGTCAATAATATTAAACTAATATTTTAAAAGGTAATAAAATTAATTTTTTAAATTAAAATATATAAAATTTAATTATTCGTAACATTTTTATATTTATAAGATTGTTGAATTTATAATTAAATAAATGAATATGAACAAAATTAATCGATATTGTTAAAGATAAAAATATATATTAAACAAAAACTTAATTTTCGAAATATTTATCTCACGCATAAATTACAATATGAACATATGATCTTAAAATAAATATATACATTTGTTGTGTGCGTGGCCGTGTGAGTTTGCGTGTGCGTGAGAGCATATGTATGCGAGTGTGCGTAGATGTGTATATGTTTACATGGTCAAATATACGTGTGCATGAATGTCTTTTCTCTTTGTCTTCGCATATGCACACTTATGTTCATGTCGATCGTCGATAATTTTTCAATTTTTTCCGCTTTTTAGTCATCTGACAAGATTGTTCAAATACTATAACAGTTGTCCATTATTATTATCAATCAGTAAAGAAACGATACACAATACAATATTGATTATGATATTTAATTATAGAATTTTATTACTCATGACAGAAAAAAACGGAAAAACACACACTTTCTTTTATTAAATAGGTGCCAATTTTCACGTGTGATTCTTAATTTTGGAATTCATTGTATTATGCATGTACTGTATATGATTTTTGAAAAAACCTTTTCAATTACAGTTATCATTAACATCGAGTGAGTGCGGCAGTACAGAATTATGCAACATTTCAATCTAATTAAAAAATTATTTTAATGTTCTCTATTATATTCTGTAATGATAATTTTTACATAAGCAGTCTAAATTTTGCATAGAGCAATAAAGCGAATATTTTCAAATTCTAAAATGACTAAAACTTCATATTATATTAAAATATTTTATTACTTCAATATTTTATATTTTAAAACTCAAAATTTTAATATTTAAAATGTAATAATACCATGTATTTTAGCTTAAATTTATATGAGATTTTTAAAATAATTTTACTTTATTATTTTGTTTTAATATTCAAATCGTATAGGTGAATCTTTTTATCTTACAATTAATTCATTACCAAGAATATAAAAAAAATTATGATAATGGTAATTAGATATACAGAAATTTATTTTAAATTCAACATTTTTATATGATAGTAGTATTTCAGACTACCAAGACATAATATGAAAAATACTAAATGCTGTCTCAACATCACTATACATTACGAATTCACAGCTCATTGCAGCTATTTAATAAAATACATTACTTAAAAATTTAAATAAACATTTAGCTTATAAGAGTATAATTAAAGATACTTCAAGAATAAGAAAATAATTGGAAAAAATGATTTATTTACTTCTTAAGGAATATAATCGACCGATGGTATAGTTGGTATGGTATATTAAATAATACCATAATATAATACCATAATATATATTCAAGAAGTAAATTAAGCTGCTATAAATTAATTATCAACTTATAGCTCGAATAATTTAGAACAATAAGAATTCTCAAGTAATGTTAGTTTTTTGCCTAAACTAATGTAAAAGTAGATGTATTGACGTTAAAACAGCGTTTATATTAATTTATTCACCAATGGACGATCAAATAAAACTATGTATTAAATTAATGATAATCCAGTTATTGCACAATCAAATTCCAATAAGTTTAATAATTGAAAGAATAATTGTTTTATTCGAAGCAAATAATTACGATAAGGACTGAAGTATGTAAATAATCAATCATACAGACACATAAAAACGTACAACGACAATGTCTTACCTTTGTCCTCAAGAGTCGGACAAACAGTTGAGTGTAAATGAATTGCAGAACAAATTTTTCCCTCATTAATCAATCATTAAGCTACTTTCACTGTAGCCATTAATCCAGTCCAGCTCGGATGAATATATTTACTGAATTCCATTTATACGCAATTTTCTTATCTCACATTCATTCAATTTAATTTTACGAAACTTTTTTGTCTTATCTGTGAAAGCTCGAATTTTACTATATATAATATAAACATTCGATGTTTTTTAATTATCTAGATGCGTACTATGGATTTTAAATATCACAAAAAAGGAATAATTGTAAAATCATTTTATGCTAATGCATCTAGTAATTTTATACGACATTGTTGTATGTTGACAAATAAAAAAATTCATAATGGATTACTTATTTATTTCGATAATAGTATTGATATTGCTGTAATTATTAATTCTCATTGAAAATTACAATATACTTTTATATTATTATTTTAGTCTACCATTGTGGCTACTTTACTTTACTTGTCGTTTAACAAGAACTTATTATCATTAATATTGTATGCTCAGATAGATGCTCAGAAATGGTCTCTATATATATATATATATATATATATATATATATATATATGTATAATGCATTATCGAATACGACGAAAGAAAATGAAGAAATATTTGCTAATAAATAGAGCTTGATATTAGCATAAGAAAAAAATTGATAACTACGATTGCAAGAAAAGTTGAAAAAAAAAAAAATTTTTTTCCATTTTTGCCAATAAATTTAAAGTTGGTTATTCGTATTTTGACGTATTTTAAATCGTTATATTTTTTTTCATTATGAGAGTGCCTAAAAGATTTGTCAATAAAGAAACGAATTTCAGTGAGAAATAAATGAGCGGATATATTTTGGTCTGTCAGAAGGGAGTTGCAATTTTTAACCGTAATCAACGATTAATCCGACGAGCAAACAGCAACGCGACTAAAATGCATTTGGAATTGCAAACAGGTATTGCAATAAATTTGCAATGACGAACGAAAAGCAAAGCCAATTGCGACGCGATTAAAGCGTTAAAGAAACATAAAGTAGTTAAAGCGAGAGAGGTAATGGGCCAAATTGGATTATAAAAGAATGTTAGTTGGTATTGTGATGAAAAGAGACACAAAGTTTGAATGTGCCATAGGGAAGGGATACTACGAAGAGAGCTCGCACAACGGCCACGATCAAAGCGAGCCGATGATGAGCATCGTATATAACGGCCATAATCGAGACGCGCCGCGCACAGAAGAGACTTTCGCGAGGAGGAACTTTCGACGCAACAGCGATGAGTGGCAAGCCGATGCTAGGAGGTGCGTTGC